AGCATGACGTCCCATGGTATGGAATGTCCCTTTGGCCAGTTTGGCTGTGCCCCCTCCCAGCTTCTTGTGCACCTCCAGCCTTCTCGGTCGGTAGAGCATGGGAAGCTGAAAAGTCCTCGACTAGTGTAAGCACTACCTAGCAACAACTAAAACATCGGTGTGTTATCAACATTATTCTCATCCTGAATCCAAAACACAGCACGGTACCAGCTACTAGGAAGAAAATTAACTCTATCCCAGCTGGAACCAGGACAGGCAGGCACAGCAGAGTCCTGCTCTCCTCTCAGGAGTGACCCTATTGTGTTTAACAAACGTCTCTCTCTACTAGCCTGTGGCATTTGCATGAGAAAGGGGCTTTGCTTTAGGGCTGGATTAAGAGAAGACTACCGGGTGCAAGTCTACTAGAGGTGTAAGTTTATGCTTAGCACTAAGCCCAAGAGCAACAGGGATAATTGGATGCTCTAGGCTAAACTTGTTCTGAGGCTTTAGCATCTTGCCTGTTGCCACATGTCTGTGGCAAAAATACACTAGAAATACAATTTGAGAGGACTTGAACCTCCCGGGTGTCTGCACTAACCGTACAGCACTCCTGGTGTGTGGTGAAAATGTGCAGACTTCACTGCTTTTAAATGTTTTTATCCAGCAAAAGAACAGCAGCAGGACTTAAAATCACTGGTGAGATTGTTCTGCAAGTATAGCTTAATGGCTCAATTTCAGCCCTGACCTGGAAAGCTAATGGTAGTGATGGATGAGGAGCTGTCTTCCACATCTCATCTTGTCAGCCCTCATTGTTCTGACTTTGGCAGGAAAAATGCAGTTTACTTGAAGACTTCGAAGGTGGCTGAAATGTTGTGTTTTTTAAAAAATGTAACAACTGTCCATTTTTCAATTCCTCCCACCCAAATATCACAGCAATACTTGCTAATGAGAAATAATTATATCTCAATTTTAATTGACACAAGTGCTATTGTTTACACAAAATGTGAGACTCTAGTAAGACATCAGGCATATGTTTAGAGGGATAACGCGTGAGAAATCAGTTCTCTCTTCTCGGGGAGCTGAGCCTTGCAAAGGAAGATGACAGATACGTGTGCTTACAGACAGACTCTAGAGCTGGTTGTATTTGCTCATCATTTGTCATAAATGCAGAGACTCGCAGCACAAAGTACTAGTGCAGCATAAGCTGGAACATATGCTCCTCTCCAACAGATGTGGCACCGATCCTAATGCTCACTGGATGTTTCAGGTCGGTGACCAGGAAGAGGATTTATCCTGGTGAGCAGGTATGAGTAACCTTGAGCCTTCCTGTGGATTGTTGCCTAATCCATGGAAAAATCCCAAATGGAGCAGGCCAAGTATGGCCTGGTTTTCAGCTTGCATTGCTGGCAATTCGTAACTGCTGAAACAGCCATCTGGGCCTACCTGATACATTGCTTGGATATGATGTTGCAAAGGCGTTGGGACAAAAATGCTTACTTGAAGCTATTGCTTTGAAGTGACCTGTAGAGTGACCTACTACTGCAATATTTCTTTCCAATTGACTCATCATTCTCCATGGACTTGGTATTCAAACAGAAATAACTCTTTCACCACTCACAGTGGTGAAAGCCCTGTGTCTTGTTTTCAGTGACTTTCCTATTAACAAGAAAATCCATGGCTATATTTTTCCCTCTTTTTATCTTCCCTGCACTTACCAAAGTGCATGCGATACTGATACAGCCTTTGTTTTTAGAAGGTATGTTATAATACACCCTCCATGTGTCATCTTGTACTGAGTACTTATTCCATGCTGAGTTGTAGTGAGTTAAGAATAATCAGCGGAACTCTTTAATACGCTTGTCTTTCTGATTTATTGGAAAAAAAAACCACGCAAACATTTCACTTACAAAGTCTTATTGTCACAACCAAGATGAAATAATAGAACAAATTACATACATGAGCTGCACGTGTTAGGTATGAAAACATAGCAAGAGGAGAAGTTTACAGAGGAGATTTCCTAGAGAATATTCGTCCACGTTGTAAAACCAATGATAAATCTTGCTGCATCTGGCAATTATTATGCCACACTCTGTTCTTACTCAGTGTTCACCCTGTTCATCTCAGGCAACATGTACTCATTCCTGAGTTCTCCCACATACCAAGATATTAATTTGCTTCTCATGTAAGCAGCCAACAGTCTGAAATTGCTACAACACACCATCATGGACTTGATTCAGTAGCTATCTTGCTTTCTTTTGGTTATTGTTAGGATAAAGAATCCAAAGTGGATCAAAGTCCATTCAGTCTCTGGAGCTGGACCCGTGCCCCTGCTTCTCGCCCCTTTGTTTAGACTTGCATGCTATGAAGTTTCAGAAGTTGTAGCTACGACCTATCTGTATTTGCCTTAAATCAAGCAACTTCTTAAATGGATTTTATGTGTTTCATTTTTCTTTGCTTTACTGGGCATAAGTAGGGTCTGATTTTTCTGTGGGCTTTGCTTTCCTTGGCTTCTAAAATAATTTTATAAGATGTTGCTGATTTGACTCATTAGGTCATTGGGCGAGTCCAGTTGTGCCCCTTATCCAGCACTGCTCTGCTTCAGGGGGTTACAGAAAGAATCAAACTCTTGTGCTGAAGGTAACGAATTACAGGTGCAAGTATTATCACAACAATTGATTTTGATTATTGATGGGTGGGTGAAAGTATCTATGCAAATGCACATCAGTGTGTGCCTCTTTATTAATACAGTATATCTCTGTTGAGCCGAGGAATGGACAGTGTGCCTTTTGTTCAGTGAGTGTTCACAGAGATAAGAGCTGCTATGGCCCCGCTTGCGATCACCAGCAAAGAGCCATGTTCAGGTGTGGAGTCGACTGCGCCTGGGTAGGTGACAAGTGGATAGGTGGTGGCTGGAACGTGGCTGTAGATGAAGCCATTTATATTTAGGAGAGCCGGCAAAACCATTTTACTAGCCACGTCTTCAAGTCCGCTGGGTGCTCTCCGCTGGCTCTCCTGGGATGCAGAGAGCGCACAGGCATATTTATGCCTTTCCTGGGCACAAAGCCTTCCAGCCCTTCTTGGTGAGCTGTGACAAATGGTGTGTTCACACCGCTGAGCAGGCGGTGGGTGTCCCTGAAGCAGAAGAGAGGTGGTTTCATGCTGTTATGATGACCCGCAACGTGGCTGGAGGCCAGGAGAGGACAACCTGGCTGCCATTGAGCTTCCACATACCGGGCCACCATGCCCTGTTCAGGTATATTTTGACCTGGATGGCTTGCCTTTTGCTGATGGATGAAGATGGCCTCTAAAACTAAGTTATATTTGTTTCTACTCTTCCCCCCCCTTCTTTGATCAGTGGACAAGGTGTAAATAGACTTCCTGGCTGGCTGTTTAGGAGATACCCATTCTTTGTACAAATACCTGCCTTTGATTAATCTTATGTTATTATTTATTTAGTCGTCTAATCAGGGAGCTAAATCAGTGCTGTAGCACATATGCAGCTGTATGCACAGCACAAACTAAAAATGACAGAGGATACTGGAGGCAAATGGTGTCCAAGAAACCCACTGGTTCAAAATTGCTCAGTCAAAATATTTGGTGAAGAGCTTCCAGTAAGACAAATGTCCAAAAGTCCATGAATGATTCATTAGAGCAAGGGAAATAAATCCAATGAAGCATTCAATTATCATGAGTAATTAATTGTATTCTAATATGTTTAGGAGTGATATTTAAAATATATTTCCTAGGCTTATAATTCATAAAGCTGACAAAAAACTGATCTAGAAAGAGGGTATGTTATTTATTCCAGAGCCAAAGGCTGGTGCTGAAATTGTGTGAACTGAAATCTCTTCGTGAGTTCAGATGCAACCCTCGGTATTTCATACTTCTTAAATGACTAAAAATCTTCCCGCAGAGATGAGTTGTTAAAGCTCCCGTCAGATCAGATCCCAGAAAAGCTGTAACCACAGCGGAGCAAAAGGTATGGAAATTTCAAGTGTGTAACTTTCAATATCAAAGTGCTCTCAGAGGGAGCTTGAAATTTGTTCAGCCTGAGGTATCTCTCCCCAAGCCTCTGTCATCTGTCACGCCGTGGCAGCAGACAGAGCAGAGAGATGGGAGGGGAATAACGCATTCGTACGAGGACAATGTCATGTCATTTAAAGAGCTGCAATCCAAGCAGAAGTCTTGTTTGTGGATGGGTAACCGTTCCTCTTTATTTTTCAATTCAAGCTTTTCATTCTTTGGCCACCATGGCTATCCCTTTTTTCTGCTACCATGAGGATCCAAATTATTGCGAGGGTGGCTGGTGACGTCTCCACTCTGCAGTGTCGTGTCCGCAGTCCCTAGCATGTGATGCTGCAAAGGTGTCTGAGTCTGTTTCACTTTAACACTTTCTATGTGGTCTTTTACTGCTCCATGCTTTCTCCAACATTTATGTCCTCCTTTAATTATGAGCATGTTCTTTTCCATTCAGAGAGGACCCAGACATAAAGACCCCAGAGGCACTGGTGACCCTACTGCTAGGGAAGGTGTGGTTTTGGGCACTGCAACATGAGCCTGATGCTGATGAGAAGTCGTCTGCAGGGAGCCAAATGGGCCTCATGTCAGTGGAGTTCAGGTACTGACGGCTGCCAAGGAGGACATCTCAGCATCCTCCTTGCTCCTCTGGAAGGTGTCCTCGTGTCCCATCTGCAAAACCTCCCACTAGTTTCTCTGAGTGCTGTAAAAGCCCCCAGAGAGGGATCCGCTCACTTGCAATAGCAGGACCTCAGCCAGGTCACAGAGGTGTCCCTTCCCACCACTACCAAGACAGGGAAAAAACCACCTTTTGCATTCACCGTTCTCCTCTCCCGTTTGCAGGTACCGCTTCAGAGATGGCAAAGGGAACAGGAGACAGAACATGTTTCTGGAGGTAAAGTAAGAAATAAAATGCAGCTGTGAACCAGCCTGTTGTAAAGGCAGTTTGGGCTTGACCTCAGTCTCACTTAGGTGAGCCTGTGCGGTTCCTGTTGTTTCGGTGGGTTTGCTTTGCATTTGTACCTATGTGAGATGAGAAGGATGACTCATATTTTACAGTTCCAGGGAGCAGATATGATGCCTTCTGTATTGTAAATTAAAAAAATAGATTTAAATTGAATTAGGTAGGACAAGAAAGATGATCCTACCTCTGTTCAAGGGGTTGGCATTGTAATAAGGAAACCTATGACACCAGATGTAAAAATAGCTGTCATTTAATGAGCAAATCTGACTGGCCTTAAACAAAGAGAGGTATATGGTGCACTTGCTGTCTTGCTAATGAAGTAATTGTGTTGCTTTGCATCGATCTGTGGAATGTTTAATCTTAGTTAAGGGGCGCAGCCTGAGGAATAAGTGTGGAGGGATGCTGGGAAGAGATCAGGTTTAGCCTTCCTGGTGGGATTCCAGGCTCCAGCACTGTAATGCCGGTCCCCTCACCGAGCAGGTAAAGAATTTCCCTTGAAGCAGGAAGATTACATGAGTGAGGCTGATTTTTAGGCATGATTTAAACAACTGCATGTGCAGACATCATCTATACCAGGCACTGTACTGCAAGGTTTTCATTTCAAGCGATGATGAGCAGTGCCCGCAGCATCCTCCCAGTATCTTTCCACCCAAATTGTGTGGGCCAGAGCAGTGCAGAGGACACTGCTGTGCATGGGCTGGTGTCACTGGGGTGGCACTTCCTGATGGAGATGCTGCCAGCTGGTGATTGCTGCCAGGCTCCCTGCATAGATGTGGGGTGAAACCTTCCTGAGCCCAAGGACTGCTGCTACAGTCTGTCTGGGAACACAGGGGTGAGAAACAGTGCTGGCTCAGGCCCTTTTATCAGTTTTGGGTTGCTTTTCCTTCTCTACAGGCCACTTTTCTTTTAAGCCATTAGCTTTTCTCCTCACTATCCTTGACGGCATGAGGTAAGGGTCTAGAGCAAGGCTTCCTAGAGCTACCACTGCCCTCCTGCCCCGCAGAACGGGTGCTGTGAGCCAGAGCATCAGCTTTCCCACCCTAATTGCTGAGTGCTGATAAGCCATTTTCCCTGGACTGATCCTCCCTCACTCAGGTTTCCTCCTATGCTTTTTTTTCCCCTCCTTTTCCCTGCGTGGGTGATCCAGTTCAGGCTCATCAGGAGGAGCGTCAGCTGAGCCAGGATCATCTCATTATTTGAGTCTGTAAGCCGATAACGGAGCTTGCTCCCTATTGTGCACTCGCCTTTGATTCTGTGTGCTCTATCTCATCGCTTCGTGCTGAAGCTTCATCTTTGCAGCTCGCTGCTGCAGGTTATTTGTCAGGCACAAAGCCCCTTCTCTAATTTCGTGGCAAGGTTAGGGGATACACAAGCCCAAAGCTGAAAGACACGGAGGCCAGGCAGGCTCACGACTGGGACCCGGTAAGGAGAGTCACTGGAGGGGAGGCGGCTGCTGCTGCTCTGCTGCTCTTTAAAAGGCATCAGTGACACAGGCACAGCGCTGCTGAAACCAGCGGAAAGCTGTGGGATGAGCCTGAGGTCTCTTCTCTAACTCCCTTACACTGCTTTATGAAAAACAGAAGCTTTTTTACTTTTTCTGTTGTGATTAAGGTGATACGTATCACCAAGGAGCTGTTTTCACTGTGTGACTTGAGACTCTCTGCCAGGATAAATTCACAAATGCTGGTAGACGGGACTTATATGTGTAGCGGTGAAGGTGAGGGAAATTTTAACCTGCTTTGTGGAAACTTGTATTTTTAAAGTTAAAAAAGAACAGGTGATTCTCTGAGCGGACGATGAGGTTTTGGCTTTATTGCTCTCCAGTGGAATGAGAAGGCCAGGCAGTGCCGACGTCCTGCTGCAGCCTGAGGACCTTAGAAGGATCTTTCTTGTATGAAATTGCATACATTAATGCTTTGGACCTCTGCTCTCCTTCCCAATGGCCAATTTCAACCAAATTGATTGCAAAGTTATTTGGAAGGGGAGTGTTGGACAAGCAGCATAATTTCCTTGGGAAGCAAAGGGAAAAGTGTGTTCCAATAACGTGAGCAATAAATAGCTAGTTGAAACCTGTGTTAAATTCTCTTTCCTAAGTCCTCTCTTTGCTAGCAAACAGGCATTAAAGATCCAGACCTATTTAAAATGGTCCAATCTTGCTAAATTGATTTTAAAATCAATCAAATGGCACAATAACCCCAAACGGGTATAATGAAACTGTTACAAACCTCATTTAAATTACCCTGCTTTAATCAGCAAATTAGGGCTCAGCTATGTGATCAGGTTTTATTAGCGAGTTATGGTGCAAATACATGTTTAAGTGACTTACCATTAATTAAGCTAAACCATTTCAGTCAGTGACTAAATTTACATTTGAACACACACACGTCCAGGTTTAATTAGTTTGGTATTAAACTGGTTTTTGTTAAACTAGTTTAACATGAGCACATGATGCAAGATTTGGCTCTACCTGATGCTTTTCAAACCTGGGGGTTACCTGGCTCCATCTTGGGGGTCCTCAGACCCACGAGCTCTGCAGAGCCCTGGGGGTGGTGGGGAAAGGGAAGAGCTGAGCCGGCTCCTGCACCCCGGGGACTACCTTGCACCAGGAGGGTGAGACGTCGGGGCCTCGTCCTGCCACTGGAGCTCTCAGATAAGAGCCTGAATGGCAGTAGGTAAGGCACGGCCACAGGGTTGATCTTTGGCAGCGCACTCTGGCAGGGTGCTGGGAGCACCAGCACAGCATGTTGACCTTCTTTGCTGCCCTGGGAGAGTTAGCAGGGCTTGTTGGCTGGAGCCTTTAGATACAGCACTGGAAGCTATACGTCAGCATGAGTGTTGTCATTCATATGTGGATCACATCAAATAATGAATTTAAAGAGCAAGTGCAAGACTTATGATCTTGACCTGGAGAGTTTTCGTGTTTTCATTTTCAATGTAAGAAATATCTCTGATGGAAATACCCTTAGGTATTTCCATTCACCATTACTGCTGATTCCCCTTTCATACGATGGTTGTATACTTGCACTCCCCTTGCTGAAAGATGTTTCCTTTCCATGATGCTGTAGTTGGCTTTCTTCACAATACCAGCAACTTCAGCTTTCTGGAGGACATGCGACAGCAGTTTCCCATGCTCACAGCTTGTCAGACAGAGCTCAGCATGCCAACTGACACTAATGCAGATAGGCTGGGGTTTTTTGTTCCTGTTTCATTGCTTAGCTGGAAATATATAGGCATGGCTTCCTGAATGCCAGTGTAAGAGGTAAGTATAAATGCCCTGCTCACACAAGTTTCTATGCAAAAAAAGCCCTTGAGAGTTTTCAAACAATATGGGACAAGCTGGAGATAAGTCAGCTGATGCTGGTACTGTTCACCAGTCTGGTGGTAAGGACAGGCTTGGGCAAGAGTTTGTTGTATGAATTACTCAGGAAGCCATCCTTCTACAGCAAGGAAATCCTGTATTGGGCTATATGCGGTTTATAGCAGCCAGGTCTGCTTGCAGGCTTTCTGATTAAGAAGTGCTACACCCTGCTGATAGCTAGTGAGCAAACAGACTGGCAGAGGTGGCAAGAACATCCCACTTATTAAATAGAAAATATTTTAAGAGAGAATGTGCAGTAACACCCCTACCCCCAAACTCCTCCATGTCCATGCACGTGCTCTGGAGGTCTGGCTCTCCTCAGTCCTGGGTTGCTGAGTCTCCTCAGCTGTTTGTGGTAGCAAGACACCCTCTCCTGTTTTCCCATCCCTAAATGGGGACTCAGTCACCCTGCTGCTGTGACTGGCACAGATTCATTAGTCCACAATACAAAATGGATTCATGTCTGCCTGATCGTGTTGGTTTGTATTGTAATTAATAGTATCCCGTAAAACCTGGGAGTCAGAGGAATGGCAGGTGAAGGATGTTTATTTTGATCATGGCATCTCCCTGGCAGGACCACCCAGTGGGCTGGGGGAGGAGATGTGCTAGAGCTTTGCTTTCAGAGGAAATACTTAGAAGAGTAATGATTGGGGCATGAAGTCAAGTGACCGATCTTTCAGACTTGTATTTTTTTGCTATCAATTATTGTACTTTTCTGCTATAGACTGTTTAATACTGCATTATAATAAGTTGGAGGTATAACCCACTCACTGTAGAAGAGCAGCTGTACATCGCTGGTGCAGGAAGGGATCCCCATGTATTTCCTCCTGCACCTGCAATAGGCTACGCGCAGCTTTGGTTCACTGGGGCAGATACCGACCCGGGATAGCTGGCAGGAAGTCTAAGGCTTGTGTCTCAGGTACATCGTGAAAGCACCAGACAAATGTCGTCACTGTCTGTGCCTTCTGTCTTTCTGCCACTTTCTTCTATCTACTCAGATGGTGAGCTCGCTGGGGCAGACTGCTCTTCCCACATCTCAGACAGTGTCTGGCATACCGTGGCATTAACAGATCAGTTACACAGATGTATGAAATACTGCTAACTGTGGAGAAACTTTAATGGATGCTATATACCCAACATTTCCTTTTGCCTCTGCGAATCTCCTCCAGACATATCATGCAGATCATATATACTGGGATATCTATTTTTAGCTCAGACTTGTATGTGAATAAGTATAACATTATTCCTTATTTAGTGAACAGGATATCCTGGATACGGGACATTCTGAAGCAAGTGTTTAGATAACATCTATTTAAACAATGGGTGTTTTAAACAATGGTAGTAAAAATTGATGTTGTGAATTCTCTCTGGTCCTGATTTTGAGGTCACAGTTATTAGTGTACAACCTATTATTTTTCTGGAGTATGCAATTGCTATTAAAAAACTCATAAACTTTTTTTTTTAGGTTTATACAGGAACAAGACCACCACTGCTTAAGCGAAAAACGAGGAGCATCGGCATTGTAACTTGCCAGCAGTGGAGTTTATAGATATTTTAATCCAAACAAATGAGCTGCTACTTCTCTGGGAGGCACAGAAAGAGGAAAACAAATCTGATTGATAGCCACCACAGAAGTAAATGTATTGCGTGTGGTCCAGCTCCTGGGAAGTGGTGGAACACCATGCAGGAGAGGTGAGTCGCATCACTGCGACTTGTTCTCAAGTTCAACGTATTCATGTTATGTTAGAAGTGACAAGAGGAGCAAAGTACTCCAGACAAAATGGTTTGTTTCTTTTCCTCTGTGATGGGTCGTAAAATGCAAACTAAGGATAAGCTATGATAATGTGGATGAACTGTATCCATTGCAAATACAGCCCCTGCAGCATAATTTCAGTAGGACTGGAACGATGGGTAGAGAGGAATGATGCTTCTTGCTAATTGGTAACTGAAAGCAGTTTTGTGTTTATGACCCCTTCAATTCTGGTACAGCAGCCATCAAACGCCCTTAGCTTGTGCGAGCAGGTAGAGAGAGTGGCTCTTAAATTGGCTCTTTCCAAGTAAGGTCCAGATTGTAAAGTTGAGCACCTCTGTGAAGTCTCCCACCTCTGACATATTCAGTGTTTTGCCCAGAGACCCAGCCTGTGCTCAGGGAGCAGTGAAGCAGCCAGGGTCCCAGAAAATAGGCAGTTGGCCATCTTTTGTCAGCCCCAGGCTCTACAGCTCTCATCTTGCCACTGGCTGAGGAGGTGAGAAAGGACTAGCTGGTAATTTAAACAGCGGTAGTAAAAATCAGTGTTGTGGATTCACTCTGGTCCTGATTTTGAGGTCATGGTTATTAGCGTACAACCTGTTATTCTGCAGCTTGAGTGAGCCTGCACCAGCACCGTCTGGCGCATGTACGGTGTTTGCACTGGCGGGTCTGGTGTGGCTGGTCGCATGCTTTCTGCCAGCTGTCCCCTGGGCTTGTCCCACTGGCTGGGGTGACATCTGCATTTTCTCCAGCCTGTGGGGCCCACGGCTGGCTGGGAGGCTGCAGCCGTTCCCCTGTACGCAGGTCCCACAGTGATAATCGCCGTGCTGCTAAGCTCCAGGTCACCCTGTAGGCAGCAGCTGCTCAACAGGCACGAAGGGCCGTGCCAGCTCCTGCAGATGTAGCTGTCTGTCTCCTGAGCGTGGACGTGCAGCTAATCAAATCAACCTTGCATGAAAAGAGGGCGCAGGCCGTCTTGAAAAATTGGTATGCCTGTAGCAAGACCTGAAGGCGTGTGAAACATGCTGGGCTTGAGGGTGTAAAAAAGCACAGGCTAGTAAAAATCGAACGTATGGGCCAATGGGTTCACAGAGTTCAATGGTATTTTTCAATAAAACATCTTGAAGGATGGGTTTCATACCAGCACAGCTCTGCTTTTTAAACATTTTTGGGTTTTGAGGGTGCAGAGCAAAATGTTTGAAGTGATGGGTCACAGGCAATAAGCAGCATGATGAATGTTTTTGTCCTCTTATCCAGCTTTGTGAGGAAATACAGGAAAACATGAAACAAGGAGTGGGGAAGAAAGACGCTTTTCGCTTCCTGGTTGTTTTCAAAGATATGGCTGTTGTGGAATGACATTTCTGAGTAGCAAGGTTGTGGCTTCAGCTGTCCCACAGCTGTCAGAAAACATGTTCTTGGTTGTGGGGCATGGAATATTGTGCTGGTTGAGATGTTATAAAATTGCCTACGGTTTCTTACCTTTACATCTGCTTTATTTTTAATTTAAAAAACCAACAAAACTTCTGATTATAACTCCAAGGGTCAGTGTCGGAGTGATTAGGACATCTCTCTGTAGCTCTCAAGTGTGTTCTTGACTCTCACCCTGCTTTGGTTGCCTGTTAATTAATTCAGGCTGCTTGACCTTGGTTACCTAGTTTGACTTTGAGTGCAGCATCTTGGCTATAAAACACAAGCTTCTTTCTGTGAAGTATGATTTTTATGCACTTGAAGTCATGTTTTGTTTCATATAAAGACAAATTACATAACCAAACATTTGTACAGCCTACCTCTTGCACTTGGTTCTCTGACCTGTTCCTTGTTACAGCGTTTTCAGGTTGATGGGTTCAGTCTCTTGTGTTCAAGCACTGCTCCTTCACCTTCCTGGGGCCACCCATGACACTATGCAGATGCGGCAAGTTGCAGTAATGCAGTAATAACTTGATCACCTGAAATTAAACCACAACAGAATGCTTACCTAGATGCTCCTTAAACTTCAGCAAACAGCTTCAAAACTCCGTAAACATTTATTAAACAAACAGACGCTGAGGATGATGATCCTGTCCCCATCAACATCTGAGACAGAGCTAACACACTTCCAGCAAAATACACGTTTAAAAATGATCTCAAGTATCTGTGCAGAAAGCAGGGGGGGACGAATTCTAGAAAGAAAACAAGAGCAATACACAATCCAGTCAAGAAACACAGTGACAGAGAAATGCTATATAAAGAAATCTTGTCCTAAACAAGAAAAATGTCAGACCACCTTGATGACTGGATCTATGTGTTACTATGTGGCACAGTTTTTCCTTTTCTCTAAATTTGAAAAGCTGCTGTCACATCTTTAGGTAATTGGAATCTCCAAAGATTTGCAGGAGCTTGATATGCTCGTTCCTCAGGTTTAATCATCATCACCATCGCAGAGGACTCTTCAAGCTAAAGCTAGCTGGGACACAAAGACACCTCCAGAAATACAGCTCAGCTACAGCGGGGATGGCACAGCCCACGAGGGAGACCTCATACAAGATATGAGGAAAGGTAGGTCCTAATGATCTCTTCAGACCTGCAATGCCCTGAAGGAGAAGTTTGCGTGAAGAAGTCTTAGTGACAGACAAGTCCCAGCGATTTCTATGGGGTGTAATGTGACTGCTCAACTCTCTGGAAGTGTCTGGAGGCTTTGTGATGTTTTTGTGCCTGTCTTCTGACCCGAATGTTTGGCTCTGCTGTTTGTGGGCTTGGGATGACGCCCGAGGTAGCCCTGTGTGCGTATTTCTGAGGGATCCCAGATTCTTCCATTTGGTTCGTGCTGAGGGCGATGCTGTGGGCAGAAGCGTCATGACAGTCGCAGTTAACAACAGCAGGCCAGGTATCATAGCGGCTGTCATACAACAGGCAAGGCCGAAAGTCCCCGTGTGACAAATAAGTAACTTCTCCCAGGGTTCTTTCTTTCCTTCTAGTTTGTCAGTGTCTGAATAATTTGGGCACAAGGTAAAAAACTCGGGCTTTTGAATGATTTGGCTGCAAGCAGCTGTTAGTATGGCAGCAGACCACACACCCTGGTGAATTAATGGTGACGACTTTGCTGTCCCTTTAGCACTGAGACCCTTAGGCAGAGCTGTGAACGGGAGAGACTTCCCTGCAGCGGGACAGACCTTTAACGCTTTTATTTGAGGAAAAACGTGCAACGTGGAGCTTATGACACGGCACCGCTGCCTGGGCAGCAGCACTCCCCAACGACACAGCCCTCCCCCTGATGTGGGGATACAGAAACACTCCGTTTTACACCAAAAAACCCTTGCAGTATCCCGTCGCAGCGAGGGGGGCATGGAAACGGGTGTTCGGTGCCCACGGAGCAGATCACGCTCTGCTCTGGGGGCCAGCGCTGGCAGGCCGCTGTGAGAGACACGGTGCAAGGGGCGGAGGGGCTCTGTCCTCGGGGAAGAAGCCGCCCGGGATGTGGGGGGCCCGGCCGCCCCCGTGGCAGGACCGGGGGCTTCGCGGGCGCGATTCGGCCCCGAGGCGCGGCCG